ACTATAATCAAATCTCATGTGCTCTTGTCGGGCTGTCGGTTTCCTAGGAACTGATCTGCTTGACCCTCATACGCCGAATTCGACGGGAGAGAGTATATATATATATATATATATATATATATATATATATATATATATATATATTTTTTTTAAAAAGACTATTTTGTTGTAAAATCTCATATATATATATATTTTTTTTTTAATTCTTTGCACCATTTTTATTATTATTATTATTTATATTTTATGTTTTAATTTTTATCCCTTTATAAAAAGTTTGCATAAGTGTCAGGAACAAAATGGCTATATATATCCGACTGGAAATTATTTGGCTATATACAGCAAATCCAGTCATCTCTCTTACATCCTTTTTCCTTTCTTTTTCTCTTCCCCCTTTATTTCTCTCTCTTGTTTCTTTCCTATCCTCTTTCTCCTTCCTTTTTCATCATCTGAAGATCCCCTTCTACTTCATTGTGCTACCACCAAAATTAGGTCAACATGTCTATCAAAACATCTTTTTAAATAAAATTTGAAATCTCTCTCTTTTTTCATGACCCTCAACCTATCTTAATATGTACCCCTTCACCCTCTCCTCTGCCTCTTTTTAAATCTGCATAAATTATGTTTATATCTTTTTTGAACCTGGTAAAATATTTATCTATTCGATTGTGTGTAATGGCTTTGGTCTGAAGATTTGGAATTGCATTGTTCGATTCTAATGAAATAAATATCACCATGACATTGTAAGTCTTCGTTTTCATAATATATATATATATATATATATATATATATATATATATATATATATATATATATATATACATATATATATATAGTGTGTGTGAGGTTTCCATATCCTCCTTACGGAGGAATGGAGGCCTCACACTTATACACTCACCCACACGATTATACACACGTACACACACCATACTCACTCACTCCCCTAATGAGCCAAATGATAACACACCTACAGCAATACACACGCTTACACATATCATACTCACTCACTCCCTAAGAACCAAATAACACACACACACACACACTTAACAGAGGCACATCCCTCTCCAGGAACCAATAAACTGTCAAACTGACCAGAGGAATTCAGAGCAGGATGAATCCATCCAGCTCTTATCTCAAATAACAACTTAAAAGAGACTGTTTGACCAACACAAGGAATGTTAAAAGATTCATGTTAAAAAGGTAAAAAAAAAAAAAAAATGAAAACTACAGACAAAAGTTCATTTTCTCCATCAAGACATTCATTTCTGTAGTTTACTGCTACCAGCAAGCAGAAATATTTCTTCTCCCGATGATGGCCATTTCGGCCGAAACTACTCGAGTAATCTAAATGGAATAATAATAAAAAAACGAAAGAATATTAATCTACAACCCAGTGTGTCTAATGATTTCAATTTTTTAATTTTTTATTTTCTTATTTTTTTATTTTCTTATTGTTCAATATATATATATATATATATATATATATATATATATATATATATATATATATACATTTTTGAAAACATGCTTAGAACTGTGTAGCGAAAAAAAAGAATAGTTTAAATCAATTAATTAATAATATTAATGCTCTGTAAATTTACATTGAGCACTATTTTGTAAACATAAAAATATCTATAAGAACACCGGATTATATATCTTACTGTTCTTTCTTTCTTTATATTTATATATATATATATATATATATATATATATACTTGTGGGGTCGGAGGAAGAAGTTGAAAATGCAACTGGAGATTTTAAGAAATGTTTATTCTTTTTTTTATGTGCCATGACCTTTCAGGACGTAGGCGATCATGGCTCTCCACCTCCTTCTATCCCTTGCAGCTCTCAACAAGTTCCTTCCCTCTGCTTCCTCCCCCACGTTCTGTCATCCATCTGCCAGGTATGTCACGCGTTGTTTTCCCTTGTCTCTCTTTCCCTCTATTCGACTCGTGAGTATCAGATTCTCCAGGCCCTCCTTCCTCATTATGTGTCCTAGAAACTTCAGCTGTCTCTTCCTGATATTAAGTATAAACCTCCGTCTTGTTTGCAACCTAAGACCTCATCGTCGCTCACGCGCTCTGTCCATGATATTCTCAGCATCCTTCTGTAGAACCACATCTCAGTCGCCTCGAGTCTCTTCTTCATCTTTGAGGAAATCGCCGTAAAGAAGAACAGATGTTATGTAACAGCTCAGTATTCTTTTCTTTGTTACCAAAGAAATCCTCCTGTCTCGTAATACTCTACCCAGCTTTTGGAATGTGTCCTTGGGCATCCCAATACGCCTACAGATCTCAGTGTCGCACTTACCGTCCTCTGTCAAAACGATTCCCAGATATTTAAACTTCCGCGTCTGCTTGATTCTAGTATTTCAAATGTTAAATTGAGATCGAGATACATGTGGCTCTGCTATCATCTGTTTCGCATTTCTGTTTTTACCCGTTTCGGATATATGAAAATTTATATATATATATATATATATATATATATATATATATATATATATATATATATATATACATATGAATCATCTATCTATCTATCTATCTATCTATCTATCTATCTATCTATCTATCTATCTATCTATCTATCTGGTTTAATTAAAGACGAATAGGAAGAAAGCCTTTCATTCTAATGACAGAAGCCTAAAATGGTCTAATTGCATGAAATTGTGTTCCATACATTTGCTTAATTCTACAAGCAGATGTATTTCTTCAAAGCCAGTAAACAAATTACAAAAATTCTTCAGCTAAATATCCTTCAAGAAGAAAGGAAGCATTTATAGAACCATTTTCGGCCAATTTTCTACATGCGAAATCTAAATTCTGAGAGGAGGCCATTATAAATTATGGAATCTTGTTTTCCGAAGTTCCGAAACGAAATTGCTTTATCATTAGGAGAGGATTTTCAAATAATACCTTTATATTTCCATTTTTCCATGAGCTACAACATCCTTAAACTTGGGAAATTCCTAAATTAAATATCGTACATGGATGAGTATCCGCATATTGTTGTTTTGATTCCTATGTTTCAGCCGATTCACTCTCTAACTTTCTTAATTGTAAAAGAAATATATTGTACTTTTATATTACATTGAAATTATATTTATATTATATAAGAAATATATTGTCATTTTATGTTATATTTATATTATATTATAAAAAATATATTGTCATTTTTTATGTTATATTGATATTATAAGAAATATATTGTCATTTTATGTTATATTTATATTATAAGAAATATATTGTCATTTTATGTTATATTGATATTATATTATAAGAAATATATTGTCATTTTATGTTATATTGATATTATAAAAATATATTGTCATTTTTTATGTTATATTTATATTATATTATAAGAAATATATTGTCATTTTATGTTATATGTATATTATATTATAAGAAATATATTGTCATTATATGTTATATTGATATTATAAGAAATATATTGTCATTTTATGTTATGTTTATATTATATTATAAGAAATATATTGTCATTTTATGCTATATTTATAAGAAATATATTGTCATTTTATGTTATATTTATATTATATAAGAAATATATTGTCATTTTATGTTAGATTTATATTATAAGAAATATATTGTCAAAACGTTGACGACTTTCGATATTTAGAATATTGTACTTTGTATAATGTGTTTTTTGACATTAAACACGTATGACGATAAACTACATCCGGCAGCAAGGTCTCTGATCAGGACAATAGAGGTTTTGAGGAGCCAGGAAACACCTCTTAACTGTTGTTGTCCGTAGGTTCATCCTGACCCAGAGTGATAACACCTGTTAGGGTCCCAGGCATGGCCAAAAATGAACTCCCAAACAAAAACAAAATACTATAAAAGTAGAAAAATACATTTTTATAGTAAAAATACCAGCAATAGATTTTTATGTAATAAAAATTACTAACAATACACATTTAAAATTACTAAAAATATATTTTATCTGTAGATGAAAGCATTAAAATTGTATTCAAAATATTTAGATTTCGGCATTAAATAACCCATAGAGGTTGATATGGCGTTAAACAAATTCAACCAACCAACAATACATATTTATAGTATATATTTAGTTGAAGCCATAAAATTGGGTTCAAAATATTTAGATTTCGGCATTAAATAACCCATAGAGGTTGATATGCCACTAAACAAAATCAACCAACCAACAATACCTATTTATAGTATATATTTAGTTGAAGCCATAAAATTGGGTTCAAAATATTTAGATTTCGGCATTAAATAACCCATAGAGGTTGATATGCCGCTAAACAAAATCAACCAACCAACAATACCTATTTATAGTATATATTTAGTTGAAGCCATAAAATTGGGTTCAAAATATTTAGATTTCGGCATTAAAAAACCCATAGAGGTGTTGATATGCCGCTAAACAAATTCAACCGACCAACAATACCTATTTATAGTATATACAGTGTAACCCGGATATAAGAGAATTGTCGGCACCGGAGAAGTCTCTTATATCCGGGTTTGGTCTATTTTATATACATTAACACAGGCTCTAATTTGGGACCAGAGAAAATCTCTCTTATATCCGGGTTTCTCTTATATCCGGGTCTCTTATATCCAGGTTACACTGTACTTAGTTGAAGCCATAAAATTGTGTTCAAAATATTGATACTCCGTCAAACAAAATCAGCTAACCAAACAGCCAACATGAAAGAACTCTTTTGTGATATTAATCCAAATATCCTACAATTTCTTAAAGAAATCAAACTGTTTTCCAAAATCTAACGACAATATAAAACACGCATATCACTGTCTCTAATAATGATGTGTACGAAAACATATATATGCACAGAAGCTGCGTATTATCTACCATGTATTCAACTGTGAAAGCAGAATAACATATTTTTATTACTTCAAAGCTCTCAATAAAATTAAATTTCAGCGGTAAATGACTCATGAAGTAGTTGATATGCCGTTAAATAAACAAAACAAAATCAATTTATGTACCATGCGGCTTACGATTATATAGCGTTGAAACACCGGTTCCCGTACGATCACCGAAGTTAAGCAACGTCGAGCCTGGTCCGTACCTAGATGAGTGACCACTTGGGAATACCAGGTGCTGTAAGCTTTGATGTGGCGGAGGTGTAATGGATAATGACTCAGAATTATAAATTGGAGAGCCAATTTACCGTATGATGACCGAAGTTAAGCAACGTCAGTACCTTGATGGGTGACCGCTTGGGAATACCAGGTGCTGTAAGCTTGGATGTGTCGGAATTGTTAATCGGAGAGCAGAGTTCCAATTCCAGTTGGGTTCGTTATATTCACTTACGCGAAAGCACCATTGGTAAAGATATGAATCCAACTCTTATCCCCCAGCTATGGTTTGAGTTGTATCACTAAACTATTATTCAAAAATCATTTCAATCTAAACATATTCCCTGGCATTAAATAACCTAGAAAGAGTTGATAAGTGGTAGGAAATGAATCAACCCCCCACCTCAAAAAAAAAAAAAAGAAATTATTAAGAGCTACAAAGGATATGAAAATGTGGAGAGCCTATATCCTGAGAGGATACGGTACATACAGGAGATGGCTGAAAATGGTTGATTACTTGAACCTCTCCAGAATGTCTTTGATTTATGTCTTATTTTTACAAGAATCAGATACGGTCATAAATAGTGAATTTCTGCCATATCTGGGTTGGAGCTGAACTTTCCAGCCTTGACTTCCGAATAGCTCGGGGTCGACGAGGAAATTTTCCCGGGCCTACAGGCTCGGATACCCTGCATTAAATTCGGCCTTATGCCACATCTGATCGCATGAGGCGGTTGGTAGGTATTCTGCCGTTGGAGATTCATTGTGGAATTCATTTGACTCACTTCGAGCAGTTGACTACTTCTTATTTACGCTGATGGCGAATCTTATATGTGTTGTTCTTGTCCTAAGTATTATCGTTCATTACCAACCTTCGTGTTATTATTCTGTTCAGTAACCTTTCCTACAACACAAGTGGAAAGTGATTGCAGAGTGGGAAACAAGAAGCCGGTAAAGAGTTCCACAAGCAAGAAGTGCGAGAGAAGAAACTCTTAGCATAGAACTTACTGTGCCATCTAGCCATTTCAACTTGCCACCAATCTAGTACTTCGCTTAAATTCATAAAGTCTAGGTACGATAGAGGAAAGTAATATTTATTTTGTAAAATACAAAGATGTAGCATAAGGCCAAAGGGGAATGGGGGACGGTTTTTCTTCTTCTGTCTTATAATTAAACTTAGCTACCCACAATAATTGACTTACACCCCATGAATAAGCAAGCACTCACCTGGGAGTATTTACATTATTCGGACTATTGTCCTCATCTTTGTCGCCATATTTATTACAACGTTTCGGCCTTTCAGTATCTGTCTATATTTCTGAGATGAAGTATTATGTACACTATTTACATTATTCGGACTATTGTCATCTTTGTCGCCATATTTATTACAACGTTTCGGCCCTTCAGTATATGTCTATATTTCTGAGGTGAGGTATTATGTACACTATTTACATTATTCAGACTATTGTCCTCATCCTTGTCGCCACAATTGTTACAACGTTTCGGCCGTTGTACGCTCCGGCTTTTTTTCATGTTGAATTGAACCCTTTATTTCGCTCACTGGGGTAGACTGTTCTAATTCCACGTGTCATGTTTAATGGATGTCAGTTATTTGTTATCACCTGTTAATTCCCCTCTCCAAATTCTCCACTGCCTTAAGCGGGTATTGAACTCACACTCTTTGGGTCCTGTCACTGGATCTAACTAACGCCTTTATCCACCGTGCCATGTGTCTCAGAAATATAGACATATACTCACCTGGGAGGTTAATCATTCTCTAGTGTGACGCCATTGAAAGAGCATGTGTACAGAGTGGCAGTCGAATAGGAATATATTTCAAGTTTTGGTTAAAACAATTCGTCCGTGAAAAATATCCGTTTGAAAAAAAAAAGGTTTCAGTTATGTTAATTTAATAAAAGAAGCCTAGATAAAATATTGATATTAACGTTTCGGACATGATCAGGAATCCATTGAAAGCGCTCCACGGTCTTCAAAGCCTTTAACCAGCCAAGTTAGTAACTTTTCATTATCACCGAGAAAACATTGAATTTTCTCCAGTCGTATGGTCGCACTCTTAATCTGATTGCTTGCTTTAAACGTTTATAGAGACTTAACTATATCCTGAACCTCAAGTGGATCCCATATACACCATCCATGGCTAAAGATACTGGGAAAAGGATCGGTTCCTTGCACAGCTTCAGAAAGTACTATTTATTTTGAGTAATACAAAATATATCTCAAGGCCAAAAGCGGAGATAGATGAAGGCTGGTCTTTAATCTGTCTTATCTTAAACTTAGCTTGCCACGGTTACTGACCCAAACATAGCCTAGTATTACTTACACCAAAACAACACAGTCTTGACAAAATATCAGCGTTAAAAGAAGGCATAACTAATCACTCCCAAAGAGGTTAGCATCAGCCATACTGATAGAAATTGGAAAGGGTCCTCTCAGATGATTGGTAGAGAGCAGTTTTCGTTTTGGAAGCCAAAAAATTAACAAACCATTCCTTACTCCAGTTAACAGCAGATTGTGGGTTATTTTTTTAGATCAGCTGCCAATTTGACATTATCAAATTCATCAGACTTACTATTAAGACAGGAATGAGCAATGAGTTACTCTCCTGGAGGCTAGCATCATCTATGCAGATGGAAGGCAGGAAGGGGTTTCTCAGGTGATTGACAGAGAGCAGTTTCATTTTGGAAATGTTAAAATTAACAAGCCATTCCTTGCCCCAGTTAACAGAAGATTGTAGGTCATTTTTTGAGATCAGCTGCCAATTTGACCGTATCAAGCCAATCAGGAGTTGTATCATCAGCAGAGATACCGAATTAAGAACTGATGACCCAAACATTCCACTCCTTACACCAAAACAGCGCATACTCTACTTAACATTCTTTCTACATTCACCATAATGCCTCTTGGTCTCTATGAAGTCCTAACTAGTCCCTATATGTACTATAGAGGAAAGTTCATCAGAAAAATTACAATGAAAGTATGCCAGGTCAGGATCAATAACATTGCAGGTTCTTCTTAGGATCTTATCAAGAAACTCTAAATACATAGAAGGAGCACCGGACCATATGTGGCAGCAATATTCAAAGCATGGACGAATGGTAGACTTATAAATATGTAAAATAGATTCTGGAGAGAAACATTACAGATTCCTCTTTGGATTTTATCAAGGATCTCTAAATATATAGCAGGAGTACCAGACCATATATGGCAGCCACTTTTAATGGATGGATTAATGGTAGACTTATAAATATGTAAGATAGATTCTGGAGAGAAACATTGTAGATTCCTCTTTTGGATTTTATCAAGAATCTCTAAATATATAGCAGGAGTATAAGACCAGATGTGGCAGCAATATTCTAAGCATGGACGAATGGTAGACTTATAAATATGCAAGATAGATTCTGGAGAGAAACATTGCAGATTCTTCTGAGGATCTTATCAAGAATCTCTAAATATATAGCAGGAGCATCAGACCAGATGTGGCAGCAATATTCAAAGCATGGACGAATGGTAGACTTATAAATATGCAAGATAGTTTCTGGAGAGAAACATTGCAGATTCCTCTTTGGAATTTATCAAGAATCTCTAAATATATAGCAGGAGTACCAGACCATATGTGACAGCCACTTTTAATGCATGGATCATATGTGGCAGCAATATTCAAAGCATGGAAGTATGGTAGAATTATAAATATGCAAAATAGATTCTGGTAAGAAAAACTGTCTTGCACGATTCAGTGAAGCAACTTCTCACGCAGACCTAGCAACTGATTCAATATAATCTTGCCAATTCATGTCAGCGGAAAACGTTACTTCCTTCATATCGGCTAATTGAGAAATCGGTGACCCGAGTTCGAATTCCAGTTGGGTTCGTTACATTCACTTGCAGGCAAATACTCTTGGAAAAGGTATGAATCCATCTATTCTCCTCCCAGCTATGGGTTAAATTGCAGGACAGACAGGGCCAGATTGATTTGGTTGGTAACCAGCCTTCCGCAGAAAGAACCCTGCCTAATCAGTCACGAATCGAAAAAGACATGATCGCTCAAGCATGTATCACGCACGGCAGTTGACTGACTGACGATATTGGCTAATATCTAATTCCGTTTCCGGAAATAATCCAGACAGAAAGAAACAAGATTATCCCCCTTGGCTACAGAATTCTTCGACAACACTTTTAGGCGATAGGTTTCGCTTGTTTGTTGGGAACGGAAGATATCTGAAAATTGAAAACTCTAAGAAAAGAAATGGCAATTGAGAAAAATGCGAAAATCCTGATCAAAAGAAATTCTTCAGACACTTTTATAAAGCCGAGATAATAACTCAAGCACAATGCCACAGTCTTCCAAAAATATCTGCAAATTGAAAATTCTAAGTAAAGCAAGCGAGAAAATAAGAAAAGGCAGTTCAAAAAGAACCTTTAAAGATATTCGCAAAGTCTAGCTTAAGTTGGTAAGACTAAAAGAATACCCCGCCCAACGATTCTGATATTAGTAAAGCCGGTTGGTTGAACTCACACTGAAATAGAATAATATAAAAAGACAAGAAGTCACCATCATAAGTGTATAAAATATATGTACATATCTCAAATTATTAGTAGAAAGTATTCAGAACTAAGTTGCCTATGTTGCTAAGTAAGTTAACACAAACTGGTGAAAATAAACAAAGCGAAATGTTGCCAAATGAAAGAAAACAATCTTACTTGATTCTCACAGTGTGTGTGTGTTTGTGTGTTGTTTAAAATGTACTGTATTAGAGGAGAACAGTGTTCAATACGAGATAAAGAGCGCTTGTAGATTGAAATAGTGTAGACACAGGAATCAACACTGCATGTTGACTGTCCGTTTCATGCCTCTGAGCAAGACATGAAGATAGTATTGAGACATAAAAATTTAATCATTATATAATGTTGATAACTCATTCCTCTTTCTCTCTTCCTCTCCACCCCCCTCTCTCTCTCTCTCTCTCTTACTATATATATATATATATATATATATATATATATATATATA